ACCGATGCCAACTCCTCAGAAACCCATGCCAACCCTTTTTGCCCTTCAACCCTTCTTTGCCAACCCTTTTGCTAAGAGCTGTAAGAACTGGGCGCGGTCACGGTCAAAACATAGTAATTTGCGCAATAAAGTCAGTTTTTTACGCAGAGATATTGGTCAAATTTTAACGGTACGGTTGCTGCAGTCAATTCGGACTGTGCTGCAGCATGAAACAACTCTGCAAAGCTTAACCACCGATAATCGAACCATTTTGATACTCCTCTCATCTTTGCTGTGGTTACATAATGGAATTGCGATTTTTGGCCTTTGCTAGTTTTTCTCGACTTCTGACATTTTATCTCTTCTGTTCACTCACCTTGCAAACCCTCAACCATCTCGAAACTAATCCAAAAACTAATTAGAAAAATTTTGGAGGAGGCGGACATCGTTCTCGAAGCACCTGCCACCTCATACGGATCGACAACTTTATCTTAGCTAAGTAAGCTAAGCTCAAAAGAGCATCTCCTTGTGTTCGAAAGCTCCAGAAATCGTGTAATTCACAGTTTTATATGGTTAAATTCGCTATACTTTCGAGTCCTACTTCTTGTCTGCTTTGTGCGATCCTCAAAGTATGTAAAAATCGACAATTTGCGACAGAAGAATGTTTTCATAAATGCATCATCACTATTGGCACCATAATGGCAAACGCCTTTGGAGAAATTGGCAAGAAATGAAGTTGATCGTATACATTTGTACGCAAGGTGCTAGGACAAATTTAGATTATTAACACATGTTCCCAAAAAAAATTTGAATGACAATGTAGAACTGGAAAATGCGAAAACCCGTTGAAGCACCAAGTACATAATAGTTACTAATAACAAACTATTTTAAGAAACTATTACAAAGAGATAAACATCAAACTAATTGGTGTTGCTCGGTGATTTGGAACACATCGTCATCGTTCTTCCCATTCCGCTTTTTAGGAGTGGTGAAGGACACATCTGAAAGTGCTACCACTTTGCTGTGAGTGACTAAAGTGACTAAGTCAGCCAGATTTGGCTGACTTAGTCACTTTTTATAATTTCTAAAAGGTAGATAAGCCAGTTTCAATTTGTTGCTCTTACATCTTTGTCTATTGGCGTCAAGAGTTTCATGTAGAGGAAGAACCAGGGTCTCGGTAGAACGGCGAATTGGCGTTCGTAAAACCTAAAAGGGCTTCATCTCCGCAAAACTATAGATGCTGAAAAGCTAAAAATGTCATACCCCGCCAGCCTCATCCCTTTTCTGTATGTCTGATAATTCAACGCTTCGTTCACCCTCGCTTTCGCTTTCAGATATGTGACGAGATTTTCGACGTACGCTTCTCCACATACCGAAACCGCTAATGGACCTTGTGCGAGGTGAGGATCCAGCCTAGAAATTTTAAGCAGAAATTATGGTAGCAAAACATTGCGAGTGATTCAAA